CTCTCAATAGTTATTTAAAAAATACGATTGAGTATTTTTTAAAATCAGTAATAATACAACCAACACATATGATAACGAAACACATCTTATCGAAATTTTATGATTATGATATTAGTTGCTGTATGATCAAATAGCATAGAATGATAGAGCTTTTCTTTCTCTGTCAGATTATGTAGAGAGAAAATTTCTTTAAGTCTACTATACAGTATTAGAGTGTCACTGCCACTACTTTTGGTATGCCCTAAGTAGATTAGTTTAAAAACACTTCTCCGATTCTTTACTCAAAAGTACAATTACGAAACGTTCAACGATAAAGCCTTTCTTCTTCAGAATAAATGATACACTCGCAGTTTCATCAATTCTCATCAGTAGTCTACAAAGGACGGGGGCGCATAAGAAGCGAAATCAGCCCATCGGACTTTTCTTGGCCAATCCCATTGAATTATATATTAATTGAAAGAACATGTTGAAATTAACACTTTAACACTATTTTCATAGAGTTTTGATCGAATTTCCGAAGCAAAAAGTCATCAACAAAGTAACCCATTTTTGGCCATTAATTCAATAATCGACTCTATCGTAATCGACTCAATTTTCGAATAAATTGATTATAAAAATCGGTTGTAAAATTAAGCATTTGATGGCTTTTTTTTATAGGGCTTCAATCCTATATATGAATCAGCAATTGATTGTTTGATTTAGTGGCGAGGAGAACTGATATACCGGTAGGCACTGTTACAATAGGCCCTCCATTTACCATCAAGTTTTATTTTTCAACAAATATCTTGTCATAAAAACGAAAGGTACCAAAATTCAGCTCCCCTCTTCACTAAATCAAACAATCAATTATTGATTCATATATAGAATTGAAGCCCTATAAAAAAGCTATCAAATACTCAATTTCACAACTATTTTTTCTAATCAATTTAGTCGAAAAATGAGTCGACTATGATAGGATCGATTATTAAATTAATGACCAAAAATAAACTACTTTGTTAATAACTTCTTGCTTCGAAAATTCGATCGAAACCCTATGAAAATAGTGTTAAAATGCTAATCTCAACATACTTTTTCAATTGATATATGTTTCAATGGGATTGGTAGAGCAAAGTCCTATGGGCCGATTTGGCTTCTTATGCGCCCCCGTCCTTAGCCTTTCTGAAATCTGCAATGATCCTTCTTGATTTACTTCGTAATTGCGCACTTGATTAATAACAGCGATGAGTGTGAGAAAGAATCTTCTATAAAAATGAACGGCTACTTTAGAAAACCATTGAATATCTAGGATTATGTTTACTCAAAAAATAATATTCTTTTCAAGATGCAGTAGATCGCTGCTTTTTTTATTTCTCGAGAATCTAGAAGACATTAATATACAATCTTCCACCGACAGAAAGCCTGATACTAGTTCTAAAACCGATGTGAGTATCGGTCTCTTAGCTAGCTGACGATAGATTAATATTCAGCCACGAATAGCACACGTTTCATCCTTTTCACGATATATTGATTAACATTACAAATAAAAGGAATTTTAATACACAGCTATCCTTGGTAGAAGAACCCATCTCACTTTATAATGACAAAAATATCACCAGTCAGAAAAACAAGGTATGCACACTAGCTATTGAAATAATAGAACTACATGCAATATGCCCGTACATCAAACATCACTTTCTTAGCCGACGAAATGCAAGCATATTCACTAAAATTGATTGCAATCTATTGTTAACAATAGCCAATTTTATAGAAAAGTAACTGGCGACAATTTTTAATCCGTTCGATAACTTGAACGAAATTAACAGTAGAAAACTGAAGCAAACATTAATTAAATTATTTTTCAAAGAAAATGAAGAATATATGCCATGTTAAATGAAATAATCATGAGCCGTTCTACTACTTGATTGAATATAGTTTCTTATAAGGTGGTTGTCGAGTACGAAAGTATAAGATAAGAAATGATTTATAATCTTAAGCAATATTACAAAATTGAATTGGAACTAAAGTAGCTGAAGAGGAAATGTAAAATGTTAATGGAAAACCTTGTTTTAAATTCACCACCACATTTCTAGAGTAAGTTCAAACAGATAAAAATGTTAGTTATTGAAACAAAAAACCGGATGTGGATATCGATTGTGTGTGCGTGTGATTCAATACTACATACAGCACGCTCTACATTCATGTTCACATCCACACCCTATAACTCTTATTTAATACATGCACGTATAATTTTATTATTGTAAGAAAGTTATGTGACACATTGCAACAATTGTTAATGATAGTAGTATTTTGATGAAATTATTCTTTTTTTTATCCTATTAACAATGATACGAATGAAAACAGTATATTTATTATTTTCCAAATGGAATTTTGAAGAAAAACAAAATTGTGATGTAAGTGAAGTATACAAAAGCGCTCGTGGAAATCTTTTATATTAGAATTGAGATTTTTTTTAGATATGAAAAGCAACCGATTGAATTATTAATTCAATCTATTTTTTTGTTCTCGAGTTGCATTGGATGACAACACATGATCATCGTAAGTTAATGAGACTTTTTATACGCAGAAAATAAATAATGATTTCGTAGGGTGTGCATATGAAAAAGAAACCTTTTATGAAATAGTAATTATGTAGGAGCTTTGTGTGCGTATGTGCAACACAAACAGATTTCTACTTTTCGCCTTATGCATCTAATGTTCATACCTAATCAACGAAAGAATGTGCGCAAAATCATAATTTTCGATTCGTAACTCCATTCATTTGACAATCTTCATATTAATATTCAGAATTTATGCGTGATTGTGAATAAAAATACAACTGAAATCCATTAATAAAAGTTATGCTATCTACTTTGCATTGCTCAGTAAAGCGACCTCAAGTCATCAGACTTCATTTCCATCATCGAATACAACCTTACCAACCTCGTGTAAGTTTCTATCTTTTCTTGAACATAATACTTAGAGTTGATCAAAAGTTCTAACAACATTAAATAGAAATATAAAGATACGGAAAATATTTTTAATTTTATTTTATCAAATGTTTACAATAGTTGCCATAATTATTTATATCAAATTCAACCCTTTCTAACAATTTATTGAAAGTTTTTTTTTTGAACTCTTTTTCTAAAAACAAAATTTTGCTACATTGGAAATCACATGAGCACACCACATTTCATTTATTTAATCAGTTAAACTTCGTTCGATAGAATTATTTAACCAAAGATTATGTAGTATTAGGCATGGCAAATATGGCGGATACGATATTATATTGATGTCTTCTTTTGTCAAGTAATTAATAATATCAGATGAGTATGAAGTCAACGATGACTGTCGAGAAATTTTACACATTTTGAACATGACGTCTCTGTTTATTTCTATATGGCATTAACAAAAGGGTGTGGGTGTGAGTTTGAATTTACCCTTTACCCAAATCCTACACCCACATCCACGCCCACACTCGCAGTGAACTAATCAACTTCGAAAGTAACGTTTCATGTGAGAAGTTCGCCCCCGCCACATTCTTTTTCTTGTTTATTCATTAACGGCAAAGTCTTTGAAACGTTGCGATTTTCCTTCGACCAACAACGTTCTCGACACATTCTGAATTTTTTTAAAATTATAATATCGATTTATTTTCTTTACATGAATGATTATCATAGTCAATCGACAATGAATGGATCAGTAATGGATGTAGCAAAGAAAATTCTGCCTTTTCACTTGTAAAGCAAGGCAATACACATTTATCAACAACAGTATCCGAAACGTTGTTCACTGATGGTAAACCTCAATTAGATGTACATAAACTTGATATAAGTCCTTTCAAAATTCATGATCTCAGCTCAGTGAGTTGTTTTTCTTTTTTATGGATTAAACTTTTTTCTGTGAAAGCTTTCTTTTGGACGGTTAATTCAAAGTGCTCCTGTGCATGATACTCGTCGAGTACAAAACAGGAAGAAGAAATATACAAGACAAAGGTCTGTTATTCATATATCTTTCTATCAATATAATCCTCGAATCTTTACTCTAGACTTTTTGGTTGTTATTGTTGCATATGCTCCCCTTTTTGTATATTTTTCTTGATGCTGGCTTTTCTATTTGTTGGTTTTGCAATTGCTGCGATTGCTGTTTTATTGTTGGTCAATTCCCAGTCAATAACGACAACAACTTCTACAAGCACTGTGAGCTCTGGTAAGTCTACTAGTATCCCTATCATATATCACTTCTGATTCACAAATCACATTAATTTATTTGTAAGGTATGCAGAGATAGTATATGCATCCTATGCAACTCATCCTGATTGATTGGCTGTAACTTAATATGTTGTTGACAAATCGTGACAGAACCTAATATTGATCAAGCCATTATGAAACATCAAACCGAGACTTAAAACGTCTTCCATCTCAAAAGAATCAGTTAATAAATCCTACTACTATCTACGGAAAAAATTCTCGAAGAAAAGCGCCTTTAGCTGTGCTTTTGAATTTTACCGTGGTTTCCTGGGGAAATCCCGCGCTGTCATCTTGATAATCGCGGTGGATCGCGTTTTTTATTGCATTGCTTTGAACTATAATCGCAATTTCGGGTATAGCGAAAATTACCGGTTTCAGTTACCACAGTATCCTAACTCATAACCGCAAGTGACTCTAACAGTAGGATGTGGGTGTTCTTTTTCCTTCAGTCATACTCACACCACACGCACATCCACACCCTACTTTGAGTTTCTACAAATCTTTTATTGTCTAGTATTCAATGTTAATATGGTGTTCAATGGTGATGCTGAAACAGGTGCTTGTGCGACGGATTCAAATGCTACTAGCCCTACGGGATGGAACTACGATGGAAGCATCACACAACTCGCTTATAACAACAGTTACATTTACAATAGATTATCCACTATTTCGACGACTATGTAAGATAAATATGAAGTTTTTTTTATTGATTTTGTTTTTTTCAGTAATTCAAGCAGTTGTTTATTCTATGGACACACATCAGCAAACACATCAATGTGGCAAACAATCAATCTGAATGATTATGTTGATTCTTCTCTTATTGATATTGAGACAGTAAAATTTAATCTTTCGGCATGGCTTGGTGGCTTTATACATCAGAATGATACGGCTACAATTTCGTTGACTTTTCTTAACCAAGCCAATCAAATGGTAGGAAATGTAAGCAGTATCGGACCCGTTGACAATGTTGATCGAAGCAATGTAACATCATTTCTCTTTCGACAAACGACCGGAGTTGTGCCTGCCGGGGCTCGTTCAGTAACAGTGCTTGTCTTAATTGCTCGTACCATTGGACCTATTAATGATGGCTATGCCGACAACATCGGTGTCTTCTTATATCAATGATGACGAGCAAATAAACTTGCGTCACAGAAAAAAATTCCTATATGTTAAACTGATGTTTTTCCACAAGAAACATTATTTAATCTATTTTTTTTGGCGGTAGTGACTAAAGTATAAATTAGTACTTGAGAAAGGTGCAGGCGTGGATTGTGGCATGTGAGTGTATGGATGCGTGTGAATGTTGTCTTAAGCTGCATTCACATCCATACCTACATCCATCATTACATTTTTTTCGGATGTTCATATCGATATTCTGAATCAGCATGACTAACTTGAACGTACAAGACATATCTAATAACTAAATTTTGAAAAAATTTTCAGCTATCCTGTTGAAGGGAAGGTTTGAAACTTTGACGTCATGTTATGATAAATAACTGTGCTCAGCGAGTAGCTGGCGTTGAGCTTGTACTCTCCATATAGTTATTGGCAAAATTTCGTGGACCGAAAAATGGCTTTATAGTCCTCGTCCTTTAGAACTCTAATATTTAAGTAACTTGTATAAATAAGTTACAAAAATGATCTACTATAAGAAATAAGAACTTGTTTTATTTCAAAAAAAAATATTCATCAACGTTTAAATTTTCAATTAAATGTAATTCTTGTACTTTCTGCTCGACAATTTTGATGATCATACCATCGATGTGTAAGATCAAGACTCATTGATGTAATATCGTCAAGTGATATTGGTTGCATAACTTTTTCAATGTCTTGACCAATTTCAGCTGTTCTATTACAATCAACTGGTCCTATATCATCGTTAACAATTTCTTGATATCGTTCAGTACCATTGGTATCTTCTTTCCATAAATGAATGATGAAAGTAAATAATGATTTCAATGAATTATTTCTAGAGACAAAAAAAAGAGACCTGATCTAATTGTTTTTCTAAATAATCTAATTTCATCTTACGCGCAAAGATTTTCATCAATATTAACTTCAAATGATCCTATATCAGTTACACTATGATTGGTTGGAACATAATGAAGACGAGTACGTGGAAGTAATGTTAAAGTCGCATTAAAAATAGATTCTAGATGATAAATAACTCTTAACATAGGTTGATGTATATCCAATACATTCCAAGGTAATATTGGAAATGTACATTGAAGTATATAATCATAACTACATTTAACCGGTGTTTCATCAATTGAAACACGAAATCGACGTGGATTAGATATTTGTGTTCCATAAAGAAAAAATGTTTCATTATCAAAAAGAGTAAATTTTGATTTTGATAATTGATAACTAGAAATTCTTAAAGAACTTGGACTACGTACATAACTTTGATCAACACGCCAAACATCAATAGATGATCGATTAAATTTAAAAATATTTTCTTTGGGAAAAACAAGTTCAATATCATCTTTTACTAATATTTCATCATTTTCTTGTGATAATATAAATAAAATAAATGTCATTTCACCATTTGTAGCTATCGCTAAATGTTGTTTTTCTTGTCTATTATTATTTTCTAAATTGATTAATAAAGCCCGTTCAGAACGATAATATGAATATTCATCATAACGACTTCGAATAAGATCATCCAGTGAACATAATTCAATACCATATAAAGGAAGGTGATTTACTTGAATAAATGTTTGTGATAAATGACGAAAACGTATACGAAAATTTTGAAAATAGTCTTCATCATTAGGACAAATTGATGAAGATATATAGTCTTTATTTCGAAAAATAATACTTGATAAATTACAATTTAAAATAAATTGATTATAATTATATGAGTTTATTCGAATATTCGTAAATGTATATTGAAAATCATTACAATCACCATTTAATGTATGTTTCGAATTAAAAAAGAATAATTCATCTATAGATAATTGTCCATGAACAATGACGAACATGAAAAATAAAAACAAAAACATCATACTATTCTTAAAATGCTTGTTACTCAGTATTTCGTTTTTACTGTTAGTTATTTGATACGAGCAAACGTTTTACTTATATGTTATTTTAGTGATATGAGATGAGTCAATATTTTATGATATTAGAAAATAAATGCCATTTTAATATAAAATCAATTCTTTTTTTCTTAATAATTTCGTTGTATATAGGTTGCTACTCGACAACAGACACGCATCCACCGACTCTAAAAGAAAGAATCTATATACTTTATATTGCATTTCTTGATGTTGATAAGAACTCATTTATTTCTATTATTATCATATTGATGATTAATTTTGACTTGACCCATTCGATACCTTCTTTAATTCATTTATGTTATAGACATATCAGAATGGATTTATTTTACTGTTCTAAGAATAACAAAGGATATTACTTATATAAATATTTTCCATTATTTTTTTATCCAAATATTATTTTACTTAATGGAAAAACAAACATATATTCGATAAAAAAAATATGCTTTTAGATTGAAGCCAACTGCAACCAATCTTTGATGCAGATTTTTTCTTATTCTGCATATATAGAAAAGTTAATAAATGTAAACTCATCGGTATAGTTCATTGTGAGAAATGTTTACGAGCTTTTTGTACTAAATATTTTAATGTTCATCGTCGATCATTTGACAAAGAAATGAATGTGATTTTGAGCAAGTATAAAGATATTAAGAATACATTGACGTGAGATTAAACAAAAAATAAAACAATTACGAGAATAATTTAGTTCGTTTTTAATAATTGTGTCAATTTATAAAAGAAACCCTAGTGATGACTCATGACATTGTAAATTAAAAAAAGAACTAACAAGTTTTATTTATCTTTGACATTATCAATGAATCTAAAAGGCAAGCGTGCTACAAGCGGTATTTTCGATGTATCAAAATTTGTCAATACGCAAGTCTTTACAGTCGACTCTGATCAAAACAATTTATCATCATCTTTGAATAATGTATCTGATCACTATTTATGGTTAAGCATTGGTGAACCTCTTAGTTATGCACTAGCTTATGTGGTAATCTATCGACCAGAGGATTCAATAGAATTCATTGCTAGTGAGTAAAATTTCCATTCGAAATCTTAAATAATATAAATTGTTATTTCTTCTTGAAAATTTCGAATATGATTACGAAAGAAAAATATATTCCTATGTGACATACACCTTCATCTAATCGGAAATAGATTACTTCCGATCGCGTGATATTACCACGCAGTCAAAGGTCACTATGTCAATCAAAGTTAATTTGTTGGATTCTTTTTTTTTTCTGTACAAGCAAATCAACAAAATTCATTATTTTGATTATATTTCAAAAATAAGATAATTATTATGTTTTACATTATCGTAGACTATTTAATCAATTGGTCACGTAATAAGACATATCAAAAATTGATTAATCAAGAAACTAATAATAAATCGACGTCTATTGAAATATATCAACAACAATGTTTTATTAATGAACAACAAAAAATTGAAGCTAAACGTTTATTAATTGAACGTAAAGAAAAACAACAACAAGAAATAGTTTATGAATATAATAAACGTTTATTTACATCATATCAATGGGATTTTTATATTAATCCACGTACAGATGATGAACGAGAACCATGCAATCATTTTGAAAAGCAACAAATTTATCAACAAATTCATACAAAAAATATTCAATCATATATTCATACACATGATACAGCCAGTGGATTTGATGATGAAATGATGAACAATCAAGAAAATAATAAAAATCGTATTTGTCATGATGGTAATCTATCATCTTTTACATATTTATCGAAATTCAAGGACAAACTAATTAAATGTGATGAGTATTAAATTAAAAAAAAAACTTATCGTTCTAGATTCAATAAAGAAATATAATTGTAAAATAGAAGTTTATATTGATTATCTTATATTTGGTGTCACTATAACAATTAGATTCTATTACAACGTCAAACAGATGCTCTACATTGATCATCGTGTTTCTTTACATTTATATAAATATATATGTATGTGATCATGTTCACATGCAACAAGGCTCAATAAGTACACACGCGCGGCATATATACTCATAGGAGATTGCCGAATCGATATTAAACGAAGATTAAATGGAATAATAATAAGAAAAAGAAATACTCTGTGAAAATAAGAAAGTAAAGAAATGTGTGTTTTGTAGATTAAATTTTTTCTTCTATTTCATACATACACACACACACACACGATTCCTTTGTGTTTATATATTATGTTTCGAGGTCATTATTACAGCTGTATGTTATGTTCGCTCAAGAGAGAAAAATAATACAAAAGTATCTTTCTACCTATCTATCAGTAACAGACATGCAATGCGACAAATTACTATCCTAACCGGAGGAAAAACTACTTCTAAAGAGAATTACGCAATTGATGATACTATGGCTTCAGATCGTGTTAGCTTCCTTTTTTTTTCTCTTGCGAAAAAAGGAAGAAAAGAAATGCATATAAGAACAATCAAAATTGGATTATTGGTGTTTTCTTGTAAATGATAGTGACAACGACAACTCTTTACAAAACGTACTTATCAAACTTAATAAATAAATAAAAACTAGAATAAAAGCAAAAGGAAATATTGTTTAATAATCTTCTCTATTATACTCTTAACCTCGAACAATGATTATGTATATAAATATAAAACACCTATTTCCCCGTGTGTGTGTGTTCTCTTTCTGCCTCGAGCAGTAGTATTATTTAAAAGCAACAAATGCATGCCTAAAGAATGTTCAACTGAACTTTTTATTTATCATATTTGCCTTTATTTATTTATTTATTTATTTTTTAAACGACTACAATAAGCGAAACTTTTTAGTATTGACAGACGTATTTGACTGATGAAGTAAGTTTAGACCTTGGAATTAGGCGTTGATTCCCTATATGATGTATTACATATATATATATATATAAATTGCATAGCTCAATGCATGTCACTCTCCGTCAGTTAGTCTCTATGTCTGTCTACAAATCAATGAACTGCATAGGGCATGTGTGTGTATGTATGTATTTCATGCGACAAGGTCGATGCTTCGCTATTACTAATGCTGTTGTCGTTGTTGTTGTTATTTTCTCTTCACGATCAGAACATTGATTGAATAATTTCAGGCTGCTGACGAACGATAATGATTATCCCTTTTTTTTTCTCTGACGACAACGCGATCATGATTGAACTATGTTCTCTTTGCTTCTGTTTCTCTTGTCGTTCTTCATGCTTCATTCTCCCGCTCCCTCTTCTCCTCTCTTCATTTCATAACGATTGCGGTGTACATACTCACTCGCTAGAATTGCTACTCACTAGGCCCTTTTGAAACATAAAAACGTCGTCATCATCATCATCATCATCATCATTCAGATGACCTTTCAAAAATTGGAGAATCTATTAACAATAAAGGTAAGTAAGTTTTGTCTTGAAATAATGCTTATTGAGCAGATGGTCTAATTGTTAATGAATTACACTTTGCATACATGTTCCGGTGTACTACTTATTATACATACAGTTAAAACGAATAACACCTATACTTCAAAAGAAAGAAGTGAAAGACAATTGAAAATATAAAGATATATTATAGTTGATTAATCGATCTAGTCAAAGAATAATTGCCAATTGGTCCCTTTCAGTGCCAAACAATCACTGGCATCCGTTCGATCGTTGTATTAAAGATGAGAAAGAACAAAACCGCCGCTTTGTCCACCAACTGATTTACATACATATATATATAAACTACCTGTTCGTGTGTGTGTGTGTTTGGAGGCAGATGGTGTATGTGTTATATTGACCAACGTCATCATGCTTGAACGTTTTCCATCTTTTTTTCTTCTTCATTTATCTTTTGACACTTATGTATAAAACATACTTATAAGGTAATGACTTATTGTATTGAAAAATTCACTTGTTTTTCCTTGCAGACCACCGAATGGTTAGTTCATTCTCAGCAGGAGGAACAACTTAAGAGAATGAGAGCAGTTTGATTGTCCAGAATGTGTAAATACAAGTCAAGTACGACGATTGATGGTTATGAAAAGAGAAAAAACAGATGAGGAAGAAAAGCAGATATTAAGAAGAGAATCAATCATCATTTGCCGATGACGATGCCAAAGTTGACTGATTGACTGTTCAATGACTGAGCTCAATGCGGTAGTACATAAACATATAAAAGTATTGCTTTTGTTACTACTCTTACTACTACTAATACTAGTATAGTTCTGTTTAATGGACTGCGAACGGGATGTGACGTGTGATGCAATTCTTTTCTGACGACTTAATTATCGACATAAGGTCGGGTCGAACAGATGAAACGGAAGAAAAGAAACGAGTTAAAGAAAAATAGCCTGATTGTATATGTAACTACAAATTTGAAAGTATCTTCAGGGTCTCGTTTTTCTTTAACTTTAGTAATACTGCTATAACAATTGATTGTCTGTCCGCCCATCTCATATTATGTCAATTGTGATTAAGAATGACATCTTTATATTCGTTCATGAATAGCATACTTTTTTTTGTGTTTTATATGTCCTTGCGTGCGTGTGAACTCTCCAATTCAATCACTATCAGTTCTTCTCGTATGCATTTGTGCGTACTTTGACACGCACTTCGTACATTGATATACATCTCAGAAGTTTTTTCTCTCGTTTCCTATATGAACACACACACATACACATACAATTATGAAGAAAGTTTTTACTATTACTATATATTTTTTTGTTCTCTAACTATATAATCTGACACAAGAACATTGTGTCACAATCATTTCCTTCTCTAGTTTATTGAATGGGTGCTGGTCATAGTAGTTGTTAATTGGAAGTCGACTACTGATTTGACCCTTCCCGTCTCGTACTGTGTATATGTTCATGATTTTTGTTGTTAGTCGTGAATTGTTGAAGGAGGAGTTGCATTCATCTTGAGTCATTGTCTTTGATGTGTGTGTACTACTAATGACGTTGATTGCCGAACATAAGTAAGAAAAGATCGATCATTCGATAGACTTAGAGAACTCGTTGAATTGATTACATTACACATTCAGTCATTGTCATCATTTTTTCTTTTTGTTGATAGGATACTTTGACGTTTATCAACACTTATTGATGACCTCTTGTCTCTCATGTTCTCTTCTTTCTTCTATCTTTGAGATCAATGTATGAATCGTTTTTAGCACGCATCCGACGAATGTTCACTAGTTTTAAATGATTATTTGACATGCATATGTCTAGTATTGTATTTGTGTCTGATGTTGGAGATTTGTTTAAAAGATATAAAATTTAATCAAGTGAAAAATCAATAAATATTATTATTATTGTTATTATTTATATTATGTGAAAAATAATCATTGGTTTTTTTTTATACGTTAATGAATTCAAACTTGATCCTATTCATACAATCATAATTGTTTATTATATGATTGATCTAGAAATCTTTTAAAATAATTTCCGCTTTTACAATGTTATGCGAAAGAAGAACTTCGATGGAAAATTTTTATCAAACTGAAGATGAGTTTTTTCATCTATTGCTTCTTTATTAAGACTCATCAGATATATAACAGAAATATCATGTAAAGTTGAAGATAATTATCTATGTTACATCAATTGTATGCTTCGATTATATTATCATGATCATAGTCAAATATAGATATTATATGGTGAAGATATCCAAATGGCTAATTTATTTCTGGTATTTCAAATTTTTCTAATATTAATCTCGATTATTTAATATGTTTCAAAATTCTTCACCTTATGGACAAAATATTATTTATTCTGAAATTTAGTGATGAAAAATGAATTGTTATCAAATATACGTATGTATGTTATTTAGGTTATATATTAGTGTTGCACCAATGTATGTTTATATGTTTGATATAGATGAAGACATCTGGATATATCTATCAGATTTATTAGCATCCATCAGTACTGGTGTATAGCTTTTGATAAAACTAGTATTTATTAACGAGATAGTTTTGATAGATGTTTTTTAATCGTTCTATTATTTATCGATCTAAATCGATTATGACGCCCTTTTCGCGTAGTTATAAAATCAATACTTTCCATAAAGTTCACTTAGTTACTTGTCTTGAAACATTTGTAATGAACAATTTAAACACAAAAAAAAAAGGTCTTCATATAATTAGAAATTTTACCATTAGAAGATGATGTTTATTCTCAAAACGAAATTATATGTAATTGTTAATAATAAATATTTACAAGAACATGACTTGTACACAAAAAACGGACAATGAAAAAAAAACAATAAGCTATTACAAGACAACAATGTCTTGAAAAAAGAACAACAAATGATGATAATCATTTATGTTAACAAATCAAACAATTCATAATGATGATAATGACAAATAGAACGATTAGTTTCTACTACTCAATCATTGATAATCATAAAGTGATGATAGGAAAAATTGCTTTGAAGTTGATATTGTTAATTAAAGAAAATACAAATAAAAGATAGTGAAAATTTGGCAAAGTTTTTGTTTTTCATTACTTCTTCTACTTCCTATCAACAACGTTATTTATATATGTAATTGATGCTAAAAAGAAAAAAAAAAGATTGACAATCGTCTTTCTCGTTTACTCGACTATAAATGAATCATATATATATATATATAAATAAATATACATCCGCAATTAACTTTTTGTTGTATGTATTGTTCTATTTAAAAAGTGATCATTGGCCGGCGACGATAAGTGTCAATGAGTTTTTTGCATGCAATGTATGCACAGACAGTTATAAGAGTGAATATGAGTGATAGACATCAAATCAATGACGTTCCTTTATTTTTCTCTATGATGTCGATAGTATTCGCATGATAGGACATTGAAGAATAGTAGGGACGAAGACAAACTAAGAGAGATAGAGAGAAAAGCAGACTTCCGGCGCCTTGAATCGTTGTAAGAGGCGGAGTAGTGAATGAAAAGAAAGACGGAAAAGAAAAGCAAACTTGATGTTACTATTGTAGAATAAGAAGAGGTAGTAGTAGTAACTTTTGCGTTACTTGCCGGAAGTTCCTTCACTCTTCAGCACATTACGCGATTTGGAAAAAAAAACGACTCTCATCTCCTCTTATTGTCACTTTGAGAAGAACAATGTATAGTTCTTCATCAGCGAATAAAGAATAATAGGTAAATGTGAATCATTTATATAAATTAAATTGTATAACTTGATAAATTGAAGTCATCTATTTTACGAGAATAAGAAAAAAGAAAGCAAGTTGAATTAAAGAAAGCTTTAATTCTTTTTCTTTTTGTTTGTTACTTTCTTGAACAATTTTTTACATATAATCTTTGTTTCATTTATTTTACACCATCTTCCATAACTTTTTATACAACCCGAAACTTTTGACATCGCCTTCAGCAGCATATAATGCTAATTCATGAATTGCTCTATTATATATTGATGAAATGACATCATTTTTAGTTTGACATATAGGACATACAAGTAGTTTGTCTGAATTCTTGTAATATTCATCAAATTTCTCTCGTTTGTCATCACTATATGTATCCTTATTAGTCATGTTATATAAACTTGTCCTCGTCAAAATATATGAGTGCAAACTCATAAATATACACTTATTTTATATTCAATAGGTGAGACAAAAGAAATAAAATAGAACACTAAAAAGTATTTAAAAAAACTATAATTAAACCATAAATAATTCGTAAATTCATTTCAGATATCTATATATATGATAAAATATGGCAAGTATCATTAACGTTAGGCGTAATAATGTTCAAAAAAACATGGATCAAGTAAAATGTTGTTTCTAAAAGGTATAATATTTATAAATATTGCAAAATTTCATTTCATTTTAATTTGTATACATATGTATATATTTATTTATTTATTTAGTTCTTTTGATTTCCATATCTATAATTAACATCTCATGTTCCATGTATTATTTGACAAATTTTCATCACGATTATCCAGATGCACGTGTAATAAATGCTAATTGTGGTGATACAATATCACTTTCATGTCCTACTGAATCAAATACTAATAATGTTCAATCATCATCTTCAGTAAGAATTTCTTGTTAATAAAATTTTATATTTCTATTATAATATAAAGATACCAGCTATGTGGTTTCGTTTATATGAAAATGCATATCCACAAGCATTAATACTTGGTGATCGTCAATTAATCGATGATCAACGTTTTATGTTACGTACACTAAATAATGATCGTCATCTTGAAATAATCGGTGCAAGAAAAGATGATCAAGGTTATTATATATGTAAAAGAGGAAATACAATTCGATCAAGTTATAATTTAACAATTACAAGTATGATATTTCATCCGAATGAAAAAGAAAAAGAGAATTTTTTTTCATGTATCAATTATTTTCTTTTTTCTTTCCCCTAGCTAACTCATGTATTAATATAATACCAAATAATTTACATGTAAATATAAATGAAGTTATTCGTCTTGTTTGTCGTATACGTTCACCGGATGCATTTAATGAACAAAATTTACGTGTACAATGGACACGTAATGAATATCCAATAATAAATATAGCTGAATGTCTTTCGAATTACTCATCTATTGATGATATTCTTTATGAAATATTAATTATAGGAAAAGCACGACGTACTGATACTGGGATATATACATGTCGATATGGTCAACTTTTAACTGCAACTGCTCATGTTATTGTTAATCAATGTACGTGTTTCGTTTTTTTTTTGTTTTTTATAAATATATATATATATTTTATCTTGTTTTTTTTTTCTTTAGATCCTGGTGGTAGTAAATCACGTCGTTTAATATCACAAATAAGTGGTAACAGTTCATCATTGAAACCATCTTTGCGAACAGTAGTTAGTTTTTTTATATTGTATATCAAATTGTTTTTGTCTTTTTACCGTAAATAAATATGTATATGTAGAGATGCATAACTTTATTAAGTTAAGATTTTTATCATAAAATAATAAAAAAATTTTTTTTTGTAATTTAAAAATTTTTTTTTTTTCCTTATCAAAAGAAATTATATTAAAGATGTCTTATTCGACCATAGTTGTTTGTCCATCAGGTGATGTTACAGAAATTGCTGGTAAATCAGCAACTAAAACCACAAAAGATTTTTATACTTAAGACAAAAAGAAAAAAAGTAAAGTTTTTAAATACATACCATTTTTAGCTTTAGAATTTTCCTCTTGAGTATTATTTGAAGGTATAAACAATTTAAAAACTTGATTTAACATCATACCAATATGAAACCGTTTTTTTGTTGTCGATGCTGTCTTCACTGTTGATTCTGACTGTGACATTTTTGAAATTCTAGTAAATATTCACGTGTTAAATATTAGATATTGTTTTTATTCCGTTGCATATATTTCTTCCTTTGCCAATGATCGCACGTGTCTATCACAAACTAGCTCTTATAATACTAATTTTATGTAGTATGCAATTGTTTTGTCGTGTAATACACTGACAATCAAAAGAAAAATATGCTGTACACAATTTGTTTTGCATTTACTTTTTTTCTTCTATCGCATAGTCATATTTTTATTCGTTTCGCATAAAACGACGACTGTAACTATCATTAATAATAATAGTGTAAGGGGCAGGCGCCCTTATTTGCTAATAAACATACGCAAATGATTAATGATTGTTCAGTGAAAGAAAAATACGTTGAAAGTGTTCATAAAATGAAGAAAATTGGAGATTTTTACACAAAATGAATGTCATACTCTTACAATTGATTTATATATTTAATTAATTTATTTTCAAATGAAATTTATATCAGTGGATAAAGTCAATGTTTACGTTGGAAGAAAATAGTCTGTATGAAAAAGTCTCTAATCATTTATAATAATAAACCAAGATAAGCTGGCAAGTTATGAAATAGATCATTACATGAAGACATCAATCTTTTTTTATTAATATATAACTAGAACATCAAAATAATATTTATGTTATTTTTTGATAGACATATAATAGATACCTCGAGAGTTTATATCTCAAGATAGAGTTCTTTTTTCTACAACATAATCAAACAAAATCAAAACGTTTTTCATTTGTAGTTATTGTTATTATGAATATATACATATTATTCTAATCGATCATCATCATCATTTGCACAAAAATGTATGCTTATTTCCAAAAATAACAATTCTAATAGAAGAAGACAGAAATATAGATAGTCATATCGTATGAATTCTATGATTCATAGCGGATATTCGTAAAAGCTCTATGTTAATTTTGTTTTTTATATACTTTTGCAGTGCAACTAATGTAGTGACTTCTTCATGTTTTTTGTCAGAAAGAGCAACATGTTCGGTGAAAAACTATACAAAAGACTTTGATCAAAAATGTTTTCCAACACTTAAAACAACCTTAGCATTATTCACTTTCGATGCTTTCGAGCATTTTCTATACATAGTAGTTCATTACTATAAAGACTTTCGTGTGATATTAAAATAATTGATCTAGCGTCGACTGCCGACAATGCAAAACTAAAGGAAGGTTTTTTCCATTTTTTTATATATCATTAGGAAGAGCGTAACGCGATGATATTTTTGGAATGAGTTTTGGGGAGGAATATTTTAGTTCTATCTTTACAATAGTCTACTTTTTCTATAACACAGGTCAATATTCGATCAATGACTAATTGTCAATTGTTTTTTTCTTCCTTCAAAGGTCAAAAATGCTTGTTTTAGATCCAGCATGAAAAACTGAATCGAAAAAAGACATTCATAAATGATTTTCTCAGATTCAGTTTTTCACACTGAATCTGAAACGAACACTTCTGAAATTTGAATGAAAGAAAAATGTCAACGATCAGTCATTTATTGATATTTGACTTCTGTTTCAGACAAAGTAGGTCATTAGAAAACTGAAATTATTTCATTTAATACTCTTTTGCAAAAAATTAAAAAGACATATATTCTTGATCAGCTCGTCATGCGCTGTCTAACCATATATAAGAAAAAGAAAAAAAATTCTTCTATAGTTTTTTCACTTCCGACACCTTACTTATATGCACATTTATTTCCGGTAAATATTTTTTGTTCTAGGTGATATGACAGTATGAAATCATCAAATAGAAATGCTTCACTGTAACCATTGCAAAATAAGGAATTCATTTTGTCTCAGTTTTTCAGTGCAGCATCGTCATTAGAGAAACTATGTCTTTTAACGGCATGCTGAGATAACTTTCATAGGCTGCTGCACGTTCTGCTATTTCTTTTGAAAGAAAACTCACTATTTACTTCAAACATCACATTTCAAGGATTATTTATAGATAAATGTATTTTCAATTGTGCATTATCAACTAATGAGGGAACTACCAAAATTGACAGTCACCGTTTGAACATATATTTGGTTCATAACGAGGTTTTGGTAAGACTCCTTTGTAAACCTCATATGTGCTCAAACAGCTTGTATCAGTTCAAGTAGTTCTCGCGTAAGTGTGCACTAATTAAACCAATGTAGCTGTTGAATAACAATTAAGATAATATAAACATGTGATTTCTTTCTATCATCAATGGAAACTACGCATTTCATTTCTTACTAATGCCGTTTGCTAAACGCACTTATCCAATATAATATTGACAGAAAATATTCATCAAGCTTTTTCTTTCCCAATGCAATTCAATTATCTTTCAGTTATTGATTTACAACAAATCTCAACAATAGAATTAAGTTAAAATTGTTATTTTTTCCATAATTAGTTGATTTATTTTGATCTATTATCTTTATTTTTTTTATAAATCAACAATTCGAGAACAACAAATAACTGCTAATACTTTCTTATACTCTTTCAAGAAAAAAAAAAAACAAGACAGAACAACAGATATTTTTAGCTTGAAGTAGACGTATTCGAACGGTTTGGTTGAGTTGAATCATCTGAAATTGCTTTTCTTCCAGCTGCTTTTGGTCTTGCTCGTGTAATCTTGACATTTTCTTTACTATCAATACGATATTGTGCTAAATCTTCTTTATGTTTTTCAATATCTTCATAAATTTCAGCTTTATCATCATCATGAATTTCAGCTCGATACTGTCTCATTATATCCCATTGACGCCATGGTTCACCAAAACGTTTAGCTGCTTTACGTACACTTCGTGGTAATGATGGTAAAAGCACACCTTTTAAATCGTGACGTTCCCATTTATATTGCCAATGAGTACTAGTGATTGGTACCTAATATCATACGATTACTTTTTTTTGTTTTCTCTTTGAATAACTAATAATAAAAACTCTTACTTGAATTGTATTCAAAGGTACTCCAGCACCGGGTGGTAATTTAACCGGTTCCATATCAAATGGAAATGTACAATATTCAGGTGGTGCATCACGTAAATAAGCAAGATTATCATCTAAACGTCGTTCAAGTTTAAGAACTTCAATTTTAGTTATTGTTGGATTATATAATTCATAACTTATTTCAACACCTAAAAGAATCAAGCTTTACATTAGATTGTATTTTTGAGTTTTCTTCTCGATGGTAACAACTAGGAAGAATTTGAAAAAAACATTTGAGTAGCTGAAACGATTTTCCATCAGGATTGATGCGCCTAAAAACTTCAACAAAACTACTTGGATAACGTTGTTTAGAAAATTAATTTTCTGGCATCTATTTGAAGCTTTTTCTAAAATTCGTTTCATTTTGATAAAGCAAAATGATCAGTCTTGCCTCTTTCCATGACCTTCTTTCTTCAAACTGTATGCAATCTATAGTAGAAAGCCTCAAACACAACAAAAAGCATTAAATTTTTTCATCAAAGACACAAGAAAAATGCTTCTTGTTTTTCCAACAAGTTTCAAATGGATGCCAGAAAAACTGTATTTTGCGAATTTTCCAGATATCCTCATTCAAGCAGTTTTATTGAAGTATTTAATTTCACTACTCCTAATAGAGAATCTTTTCAGCTTTTCAAATTTTTAAAAATTTTTGTTGATCACTGTATATAATTGAAATATAAATAGAAAAAAAAACAATCTTTACCAAGTCCATCAACAATATTCCTTAGAGTGAATTGATGTTTAAGTCCATGTCTTTCACGTTGAATACATATACCAACAAATCTATGACGTCGATTAGGTGCATATGGATCAGCTGATGTTACAGCAAGAACGCTTCCTTAAATAGGAAAATTTTTTTTTCTCTTTCATTAGAATAAATTCAATTTTTTGTTTTTTCTTTTTTAATGCGTACTAACCAACATAAAATTCTGGTATATCAATTTGTTGTCGTCGACGAAACATATCTTTTCGTTCGAGTTTTTCAAGTATTCGATCACGTAAATAAGGTATTGAATTTGGTAAAAAATCAGGATAAACATATCTATAAAATGAAACATACATCTTTTATTTTTCTCAAGTAAATTTAATTTACTTAAAATCATGTGGTGTAGTACGGAGATTTTTTTCTGTATCATTTTTCGGCGGAACAGCACCAACAGCTGCACCATCTTTCATTTTACCTAATGGTGATTGTCTATGATGTTCAACAAGATGATCAGCAATATGTCCACGTTGTTTATATCGAACAGATAATATTAAGACTAGAAAATAATAAAAATAAAAATAAATAAGAATATTATATTTGTTTGCATGAAAAGTAATATATATTAACCTGATCTTAATATCTGTTGATTGTGTAATAGAAATTTATTAGTAGCAGAAAATGATAATACCATTGTTTTTTTTTATTGTTGTGTTTTTTAAAAATACATCTGAAAACAATAGAAAATACAACAAACAAACAAAAAAAAAAATAATCAATCCTAGGATTTTTGTGAATAAGAAAAACATCGAACACATAGTTCATTTTCATTTTCTGATACTTGTAAACGACAACGAGGACATGAATGTAAAGAACTATATTGAATTTTCATTATATAATTAAATTTATCATCTAGAATAAATTCTAATTTTAGTATTTTTGTTTTGTTCGATAAATAATGAAGCATACCTAATAATGGTAAATCAACACTTGAAATATTTTCTTCGATTAGATCATTTTCTAAATCAGATAATGACCGTTGATGAACACGTGAACATTGTAAAAGCTCTTCTAATGGATGCCAAAAATCTACTTTGACGCTCTAAATTAAAGAAAATGAATAACATTAAATATCAAATATTTAATTATTAGTGTATTAATATTAAAGAAAATTTTTTCCTTGAGACTTTAAGTCAACTATGTTGCACTTACCCATAATCGTTCATACTATTGCTATCCATTTCAAAATAAAATAGACTTGATGGTTTTTTGAATAATTTTTGAGAGGAACGTCATAAAGAATTGTGCTTTCAATA